TATGTAACTTATTGACCAACGTAAGAAAAAAAAAACAATCTACACCACCACTACAACCAAAACAGAAAACAGTCTAGAACGTAGATATATGAAAATGTACTTTACGGAGAAAGAACGTACTACAGGCCTTGGAGTAGAAGAGCATAAAAGAACTTGACCGTAATTCCATTTGTTTTTATATAATAAAGTAAATATATAATACAATACAATGTAAAATAAAAAAAGTTGAAGAGTTAATCGGATATAGATAGTAGCATGGGCTTATGAAACATTCCTTTGTGGTTTTAAATGTTTGGTTTCTTTTCAGTTTTGCACAAAGCTACACGAAGGTTATCTACGCTAGCCGTTTTTAACTTACCAGTGTGAGACTAGAGGCAAGGCAGCTGGTCAACACCACCCACCGCAAACTCTTGGGCTACTCTTTACCAACGAATACCGAAATTGACTGTCACATTATAACGCCCCCACGGCTGAAATGGGCGCACATGTTTGATGCGACGGGGTTTCGAAACCGCGACTCTCAGGTTGCGAATCGGGCGCCATAACTACCAAGTCATGCCAGGCCTTGGTTTGAAATGCTATAATGTTTTTTGTCAATCATCTTACGTTCCCTGACACACATAAGTAGTAAAGTAGCTGTCATGACTGTTTGTAAATATTCAGTGGCACGGAAAACTTTCCTTTTTTATTGTTTTTCCTATATTTTTTATTCAATTCATGTGTATGCGTGTCTATTAGATAGCATTGATACTGATATTGGTTAAAAGTTTTTTGTTTTATTTATAGATTTAATTTTTTTAACTCACGTTTAAAATGTTCATGGAAATTGTAATTAATGTATATTCTTTACAGTTAGAGTTCAGTAACCGACAATACGGGTTAATTATGTATTTCAACATGGATCTGTGTAAATTCGTCTATTCTCTATGAGTTGTTTTCTGCCCAAGCCTATAGCCCAAATTAAAAAAATATTCGGTAATCACTATTTATCTTAAATAACCGACTATTCAGAAATTGAAGGTGTTTATTTTTTTTTACTCTGATTTTGGCTACAGGCATTCATCAAGATGACCAAAAAAAGAACTTTCCCAGTAACAGTTAATAAATATTAAGCACTTCAACTGTATAGGGTTAGTCGTTTATTTTTTCTGAAAATATTCTTCGATTTCTAATTATTTCCATCCTGTGGATTAAATACGAGATAGGCTATAAATATCCTGTCTGTTAACATTCTTGTTACTCTATATTGTTAGCATATTATCCTTATTACACCTTTATGTAGTATTGTTCAAATAGTGCCCATATATTCAAAACTACTTTCAGACATTGTTAATTTAATGTTGAAATATGAATAATGACTCAACTCAGGATTTTAAAATACGTATCAAAATATTGTGTTGATTTAATATATTTTTAAAAAACATTTGATGGTTCAATTTGATGGTATTTTATAAATATAACTACCGAAAGGGATAAGAAAAAAGGTGTTTTTGACATTCTCATTATTACATTATTTTACACAAAATAATGCCTATTTAAAAGCACCTACTTTAACTAAGTAGAAAAAAAATTAAAGAGTTAACTCACGAAGAACTCGAATAAACGCTGCTGTCTTGGCTCTGCCGTGTCTGTTTCTAACAACGCACGTATAGTTTCCAGCCATTTCCTTAGACAGAGAAGAATTGAATGACAGAACCGGACCTTGTGATACTGGTTTTCCTCTTTGAAGCCAGAAATATTCTCCATTGGGATGAGCAGAGGCAGAACACACTAGATCTTCCGGGATTTCGCCTTCCAAAATCTCCAGTTGAACCACTGAAATCTTGATATCTTCGGGAGGATCTGAAATGATGAAATTATTGCTACTAACACTTTGCAATTTGTTAGGGGTAGAGTTAATTGACAAAACTACTTTACACTGTATAGTACTTACTAATTGTTATTTAAACCAAATAATACAATTCGAATGTTTTAATGAAACACGATGATTTAAACTCTTTAAGCTTATGAAACGAGTATAATCTGTATATATATTCTTTTCAAAATAGTTAAATGCGTAGCACGAATTTAGCGCCTTAGCATACTTAATCAGTTTGCTACGTCTATAAAATAACAATAATAATTTTAGCCTATCGAAAGCAAAGTTCCTTCCCGTCAATATTTTCTGTTTTACAAATCAAACCGGTTTATAGGGATTTTTTAACAAACCTGAAGACGAAACTATTTAAACAGGTTTGTTTGTTTTAGCGCAAAAATACACAATAGGCTAGTTCCACTAATTAAACAAGGAAATCGTAAGAGTAACGAGGTATGTTGAACCGGTGAAAACCGAGATATATAAAAATCTTAAAATTATTTTATTATAGACATAGCTAATAACCTCTTCTTCGTGTTCATATCTATCTAGCTGTATGTTGGGAAATATTACAAAGAACGTTGTACTACAACTATTTGCACGAAAGTAACTCCCCATTTAATCTTTTTTTAAATGATTTAATTCCCATCTATTTATCAGCAAGTGCAATGATGTACATTAACATTAACTTATTATGAAACCTAACAACTCATAAGGTTGGTATTGTTGAAATATATTATACAGTAGTTTACACACTTAAACGTTTTGTTTATTTGTAGATAAGCTCAAGGATACACAATGGGATAGCTGTGTCGTGCCAACTACAGGTATCGAAACCCGGTTTATAGCATTATAAGCCTTCAGACTTACCGCTAAGATTTAACGATACTGTGTACTGTCAATAAGAAGAAGACACAATACTGTGTACTCTCAATCAATAAGAAGACACAAGATTTAAAAAAACACAAGATTTAACGATACTATGTACTTTCTGCGTACTGTCAGTAAGTACTGTCAATAAGAAGACACAAGATTTAACGATACTGTCTACTGTCAATAAGAAGACACAAGATTTAACGATACTAATATTTAACGATACTGTGTACTGTCAATAAGAAGAAACAAGATTTAACGATACAGTGTGTCTTCATATTGACAGGACACATTATTGTTAAATCTTATGTTTTCTTACTGACAGTACACATTATCGTTGAATATTGTGTCTTCTTATTGACAGTACACATTATTGTTAAATCTTGTATTTTCTTACTGACAGTACACATTATCGTTGAATATTGTGTCTTCTTATTGACAGTACACAATATTTTTAAATCTTATGTCTTTTTATTGACAGGACACATTATTGTTAAATTTTCTGTTTTCTTATTGACAGTACACATTATTGTTTAATCTATTCTCTTTTTATTGACAGGACACATTATTGTTAAATCTTGTGTCTTCTTATTGACAGTACACATTATTGTTTAATCTATTCTCTTTTTATTGACAGGACACATTATTGTTAAATCTTGTGTCTTCTTATTGACAGTACACATTATTGTTTAATCTATTCTCTTTTTATTGACAGGACACATTATTGTTAAATCTTGTTTCTTCTTATTGATAGTACACAG